GCGACAGCCTTACCAGATTGGAATCGCATCAGTCGCAGAAGATAATTAGCGGGATTCAGCGGGACCCAACGCGAACATCGAACGATACGTCAATTAGTCCGGCACGACTCGTCGCGTGAGCCATTACATGTATAAATTGGCGCCCATTTAATTATCCTGCTACCTGCTATTGACAGATGCACGCGGTGTGCGCATCGGCTTTGATCCAACGCGACCTATCAAGATTCGGCGTCGCGATCATCTCTGCCGTGATATTATCTATATATCTCTCCGATTATCACCAGGTTTCTCTAATTGCCAACTAATAACCCGACAATCATACGAATGTATTGCTACTTGAGTAAGTCAAGAATAAGTGTAAGAGACGCCGACTCAACACGTCGCGACAAGCATTAACTAAAGAAAAATAAGTAGATTACTTACTAATAACATCCTCACGATACGCCCCGACGATCGCACATCGCTACTTTCGACGCTCTCGATATTTATTTCCGCGCCAGAATAACTTACGAACGACAAAAGACACGTAAAACACGGAGCGACATCGATCGATGTGTTGACGGCGGTTGCTCGATGCAAAAAGATCGAAATCCAAGATGGACGCGCAATTAACGACGCGTACGCCGTGAATACGCGCCAAAACATGAGCGATATCGCGGTGCGACAAGGACGCGCTCTGTGAAGTACGCTCCTTCATCCCTCTCTTTCTCTCTTATCAACAAGCTGACGCATCGCGCGAAATTCGGCGTTACGTATATCACCCGCGTTTTACCTTTCTCTTTCTTTCTGATTATCATAAAATTTCTAATTTCCGATTAATAAATCCGACAGTCACGCGATTCTATTGCAATTTCGATGAAACGACGGTAACAAGTGTAAGAGACGCTGACTTGACGCGTCGCGACAAGCATCGCTTATATTCGGAAAAACGAGTAAATTACTTACTAATAACTCCCTCACGATGCGTCTTGACAATCGCACATCGCTATTTTCCTCGTCCTAGTACTTATTTCCACGCGAAATTCACTTACGAATGAGAAAAGGCACGTAAAACGCGGAACGATGTCGATTGATGTGTCGGTGGCGGCTGCTCGATGCGAAAAGATCGAAATCCAAGATGGTCGCGCAATTGGCGCGAATGCGCGCTAAAACATACGATGTCGCGGCGCGACAAGGACGCACTCTGTGGGGTACAGTAAGTCGCAAAAACGACATAATAAACTTCAAAGCGTAACTAATGGTCCAATAGGAGAACGAATTATTAAAAAATAAGTTCTCTGATTGAACCATCGGTTATACTCTAAATTTCATTGTATCTAAACTATTTTACGACTTACTGTACACATATCTCTCTCTCTTCCTAACAGTTTGCTGTACACATCTTATTGTCTTTCTAATATATTAACGTTACCGCTCGAGATTCGGCGCTGCATATATCTTTCGCTTGTTCTTTCTCTCTGACTATCACCGAATTTCGAATTCCGGAGCAATAAATCCGATAATCATCCGAGTCTACTGTTACTTGAGTATGTGTGTATGTGATGCCCATTTCTATCAACTTTGATTAATTTAACCGGTTGATCATGCCAACGAAACTGACCAATCGTATCTGTCAATTCTAACTAACGAAAAAAGCGATTGGTTAAATTCGTTCGAATAATCAGCTGATTAAGTTAACGAAAATTGATAGTAACAGGCATGAATTGCTGGTAAAGCAAGTGTAAACGAGACGCTGGATCGACACATAGCAACAAGCACCGGCTGCATACACTGAACAAACGAAAAGGCTAATTTTAAAATTCTTAATAACATACTCACGATACGACGATCGCACGTCGCTGGTTTGACACTCCGGATGCTTATTTCTGCAAGAAGCTCACTTGCAACGGGGATAAAGGGTTCGCAGAAGGCAAAGTGACGTTGATCGATAGTTCAATAGCAGTTGTCCACGCAAAAACATTGAAGATGCGCCAGCGATTGATCACGTATGCCAATAACGCGCGAAGCGTCACGACGTGGATGATATCACGCCGCTACAACCGCGCCGTCTGTAGGGCGCGAGCCTCACCCTTTGATAAATAGACGGGCAACATTTTTCAAACAGTTACATGCGTTTCTATGTATAGTTTCTCACCATTGGTTCATTACGGCGCGCGTCTTCAATTGCACAGGAATATTTGACCTTTCTGCATGGAGCAACCGCAACCAATCTATCGATCTCTCCGTATTCCGCGCGTCTTTTGCTCGTCAAAAGTGAGTCTCATGCGGTAATGAATATGCAGAGTATTGAGAATAGCCAACGGCAATCGTCGATATATCTCGACTCACTCAAATTGCAATAGAATGGAATGACTGTCGGATTTATTCCTCGGGAATTAGAAATTCCGTAATAATCAGAACGGAAGAGAAAGACGCGAGAGATTTACGCAGCGCCGAATTTTGGTACAGTCAGTCTCTCAGTAGGAAAGAGAGAAAGTGTACTTCACAGAGCACCGCGACGCCTCTCATGTTTTGGCGCGTCGTCAATTGCGCGACCATCTTAGATTTCGATCTTTTTGCATCGACCAACCGCCGTCAACACATGAATCGACATCGTTCCGCGCTTTATGTATCTTTTGTCGCTCGTAAATCATTCTCGCACGGAAATAAGTATCAAAAGTGCCGAAAATAGCGATGTGCAATCTTCGAGACATCTCGTAAATGCCTTATTGAGAAGTAATCTCATTTATCGATATATACAATCTGTGCTTGTCACGACATGTCGAATCGGCATTTTTTATATTTATTATCACCGATTCACTCAAATAACAATTTTCGACCAGCCACAAACGTTCTTACCTCGTTTCTCATCGTCGTTAATTAATCCAGAGAAAACAGATTTCCACTCTCTGGACTAATGAACAGTCATGAGAAATGCACAGCTAGATACGAATGAAGCTAGCTGAAAACTTAGAAACTATAAATCTATCGGCAGTAAAGCATCCACGAGAACAGAGACTGTACATCTTAGTAAACATAAGAAAATAAACAGCTGTGTCCTCATGAGACACATGTCAATCGATGGATGCACGTGTGCGTGGGTGTGTGCGTGTCTATGTACGCCCGCACGTCAATAATCAATTAAATTATCGACAAACACATCTAGATAGACGCCGTCCTAATTTATGCACCTCTGACGTCCAAATCGCCGCGGCGACGCGCAGTTATACGACAGGGTCGCTAATTATTTGCAGAGACCGGAGAACGCAATCTAAACGGGCGATACGCCCGCACCTCCCCCTCCAATCTTTCCCCCCACTGGCTCTCTCTCTCTCTCTCTCTCTGTATTTCCCTTTCTGGTGACGCGAGGGCCGTTAATGGTATTTCAGTGACATCCGGGTCGCAAGTGTGCGCACTAATTAACGCTGTGTCGATAGCAATGCTACATGTCCTGATACGCCAAGAAACGGCTGTAACCGCGGCGTCACGTTGCGTTTACAATCCATCAAAACGCGATAAATCGCGCGAAATTATTATTCGCACACGGTGAGAGACTCTCGCGCGGAACGCGTTTAATTTAATCGCGAATTTTATCCTCGAACACGTCACGCTCTCGTCAGTCGTGGATTATTTAGGAAACATTTTGTGGGTAGAACGGTAAGCTAACGCGAAAAACCGCAGCGAAGAAATGTCGGCCAACGTCCTTGTTAGGTCGCCCCTTCTTTTCGCACTCCCACGTAACGTTGTGAATTTTCTTGTGGAAGAATCACGCGACGAAAATTTTGAATTATACACTAAGAATAAAGTGTTTAGTATTATGTAACTGTATTATATATATATATATATATATATATATATATATATATATATATATAATTACACGGAGAGAAATAATTACTATAAATTATGGCCAGGAAAATCATCTTTTTCCTAAACTTTATAACATTTAAGTAATAATAATCTCTCTCTCACACGAAGAGAAATAATTATTATAAATTATGGTCAAGAAAACTTTTCTCCTCAATTCTACTATAATATTAGTGATAATAACCTAATATGCATGCTACTCGTTTTTTCGTATTATAACATTTTCGTATTATAGCATTTTCGTATTATAACAATCAAAAAATATGGTCAAGATAAAAATAACCACAGGGTGCTTCAGAGAAATGTTAACACTTATATGGAGAAAAAGTTACCTCCATATATAGTCATACATATAATCATATAATAAATCATATACGTTACCACATATAAAAGTAATTTTTTCTCCATATAAGGATTAACATTCTTTTGAGGCGAATTCTCTCCATACAAGTATTAGTATTATTTTAAGCACCTTGCATAATTTTAGTTCAATCTCATTCCTTTCTCTCAGTATATATATAATTACACACTTACACAACAACAGCGTAAGTGTGCAACAGTATTCAACCCACCCATATACACGCGCTCGCATAATGCGAGTCCTGCCGGCGATATTTAATAGGATTTATCGAAACACAGAACGGCCAACAATAATTGGCCGAGTGATACTTTTGACAATACGCCGCCGCCACCGTCATGGCAATTTCCGCGGGAAAACACGACGCGCGCGCCGCATTGTCGTCGCATTAATATTTATCGATCCCGCATCCTCGCCTGTCCCCCCTTCGCCCCGCTGACCGTCGTTCAATCCTTCGTCTCCCGCATTATCATTAATATCCGCTTCTCTAATAGTGCAATACATAAATAAACATTTGTAAACACGTAAATACAGCGCGGCGGTTCGCGTTCGCCGCGCTCAGTTTGCTCGGCTCGCGAGACTGCTCTTCTCTTTGTGGTCGTGTCGCGCCCACGGAGAGTAAGCGGATTGATTCGCGCTTTCTATCCCGCGCGGAAATTTCGCGCGTCGCGCTCCTCCCCCACGTCCTCTCTCATTACGGGCATTTATTCCCATTTTTTCTACGCAACTCCGCATTATTCAGCGCGATCTCGCTCGTTAAATATATCGTGCGTGCATACACACGGGGATAGGCGCACATAGATTCGCGCAGTGAATGACGGTAACTAACCGGAGCGCCGTCTGTTACGTCGCTTTCCTAGCGACGGCCGGTCCGAAAAATTCGAGGCATTTATTATAGCTGCGATCGCTTTTTCTCTCTCTCTGCCTCCCTCCCTCTCTTTCTGGCCACCACTTCCCGACGGGAGATATTAAATCGCCGTGTGGCGGCGTCGATTAATTAACGTCGCATCAGTCGACGTGAATCCTTCGTGGCGTGGACATTTACGAGCCGGCCAGGATGTATTATAAGCGCGAGACGGCGGGCAGGGGTAGGGGGGCTCACGGTGTCTGGCAACTTAGTTTCCGAACCTTCTATTTGCGATCAATTACTCTTCGTGCAGTTAATTACTCTTCGTCTAGTTACCTTCGGCGAAACGGGCGAAGTTGCCCTCCTTATTTTCGCAATGGCTCGGCGCCGGGCGCCATGTAAGAGATGCGCCCCCGTGCGAGGGCGAGCTTAAAGTCCTTGGTCGAACGTGGGTAATAACAGGGCGAGAACGCAAAAGAGAAGACTTTCTGCGCGCTTTCCGCCGCGCGAATCTCCAGTGTAGCTTCGTCGACATTCGTAGCCGGGATACATTAACTTGCGTTTCAATTTCGTCGAGTGTCGATAGTCCCACGAGAGCGGCAACTCGCAGCCTCCGCAAAATCTCAGACTTTGCGGAGAAGAGGTGATACACACGAAGCTAACGACGTAGCTATTTTTTTTGTTAGTTGAAGAACGGCTCCAAAGCTTCCTCGTATATTTTTGCCAATATCTCTGGATATGAAACCATAAGAAGGAACCGTAAGAGATATTGGGAAAATTTAATAACATTTCATACTCTGCAACACTGTGATAAGAAGCAATTTTTGAATTAAGGGACGTGTAGTGAAAAAAATTTCTTGAAACTTTTCGTTTAACTTCTTATCACGACATTGTTTAACATAAATGTTATTAAATTCCGTATTTAATATCCTTCCAGTATGTCTTATAGTTTTAGAGATAATAACAAAAATTGAAGATTCCAAAAAGGAAAAAAGTTTTCACCCTTCTCTCGAAATCCCGTTTTTAGCTGAAACAGAAAAACAGTTCTGTCATTATGTTTATATGCTGTGAGAGGAAACATATCTAGGAGATAAAAAATATTTATTCGTTGGGTATTAATAATACATATACCTGTATTAACATTAAATATTTTTTAGATGAGAAAATATATTTTCTTAACATCTTAGCTCTTCTCATGAAAGTAATTATCCTAGTAAAAAAATTTAAATTTAAGCAAATACTTCATTTTTACCGAATTTTATTTAAACAGAAAAACAACGAATTGATTTTAATTTATTTCCTTTCTCTTTTTGCTAATAAAGAGGAATGTGTATATATATTATAATATACATATAATAATACACGTATTTTTTTACAACTTTTTGTCAGGTTTTTTTTTTGTACGACTTTTTATAGTAAATTCTTTTGTGAAAGCTTTCATCAAATTTTTATTAAATTAACTTTTAGACATTTATATATATATTAATACCAACCGAATAAATATTTGTTTATTTTATAAATATTTTTCCCCTTAATATATGCGTTTTCTTCCTGCGAAGTTTCAAATTCTTCAAAATGCACAGGTCGTTCTACATTTCGCGAGATCCTCGATCAGCGCGTAAAGATATATACAAGTCATTAAAACGCACATATCAAGGGGACGCGATTAATGGATCTCTCGACGGTTAACCTTGACTTTTCGACTATTGATACAAGCGAACATGACCGTGGATTGGCGGTTTCGTATTGTTTAACAATCTTCGAGCCCTTGCCAAAACATAATAAGTCTCGTACGCTCTTTCATTCCGAGGCCGTGTTCGCCGTCCGGGAAGACACGCGGACGCGAGGTTGGTCTAATTGGGCGAAGACTCGATTTCGTGCGGGTCTCTCCCTCTTCTTCTTCTTCTTCTCTCTCTCTCTCTATGTTTTCTCTAAGCCACGCACGTAGCAGAGGGGTCCGTCGTCGCCGTCGTCACCGCCAAGGGCTGACTGGCCGTCCAGGATTGTGCCAAGAAAAAGGAATACGCGGACGTGGCGTGTAGTTTTACTCTTAAGTCGATTAAGTTTCTTTTTGTACTCGGCGGCCCTCCCGCTCTCATCCACCGCTGCGGCCGCTACTCAGGCTGCGGGACGGGAAAATATTTCGAGAGGCGGTTTGGAAAATTTCCGGGATATCCCGCGAAGAAACGTGACCGGCTGGCGATTGAAGGTTTTATCCGGTCTCGAAAACAATGGCGGACAAATTGGAGAGCGGGCGACATGCCCGCGCAAGGATCCCCGAAGCACGTCCGCGACGCGAATCCGTCTTCTCGGCTTTAAATATCGATTCCGCAGATCAGCGGAAATCAAACTAATATTCTTTTCGGAAAGGTGTCTCTCCTCACAAAGGTGGGAAGCTTTTCCGATGTATCGACGAATACGCGTTCGCGAGTGCCTAACGCAAACATACAAATATACAAATATCTCGAAATTTTACAGGATTGTTTGCAAAATGCTAAGAATTCTCGTGCTCTATCTTCACACAAGGCTTTGTATATCTTGTATAACCCTGTATGTGAGGCATGATCCAGAGAGCACAGAGAACTCAAAAAGAATTCCGTCGTATGTCACCAATTCTGAGTTTATTTTTAGATGCAAAAAGAATTTTCAGAGTTCAGTGAAAAGAATTCTTCAGAGTTCAGTTTAGTGAAAAGAATTCTTCTTGCACCTAAAAATGAACTCAGAATTGATGACATATGACTGAATTCTTTTTGAATTCTCTGTGCTATCTGGGGAGAGATAGAAGGAAAAATTAGACAACGATGGACGCGCGTTTTGATACTCGTGTGGGACGACCGATTTTACTATTAATACGATATAATTAATTTATCGACAATTAATACGTTAATTACCACAGCGACATCACACAAAGAGAATATTATAGTTTTTTCAATCTAAATTTCATTATGTTTATAATAATGTAGACTGTCAATATAGTTAATCTTGCTGAGAAATATTGTAAATCTCGCTGGAAAATTTGCAGCAAATTATTTGATAGCACATTTCAGTTCCTCAAATATAATGGTACATATGAAATGGAAGGATATTCAATTACGGCAGAATATTAATTTATTCTTCGGTAACGAAATTTTATAGCAATTCTTTCTATAAAATTTTCTCCGTATCGAGGATTTTGTTCTCGACGCCATTTAAAAGTCAACGTGCTATTTTAATATGACAATTAATTATATTTATGCGCAAAAATATATTCGCGAAAATATATTCGCGATGAAAATTTATTCCCGCAAATAACCTCTGTGTGAGTTAATTTGCATTTGCATCATTAAGAGATTTTAAAGGTATACTCGTTTTGAAGAACTTTTAGAACAACATCAAATGTAACGAGATCAGAAACATGTGATAAGAAATTCTGTGATGAGAAATCTGAGAAGAAATATTTATTCTCACTCACATTTCTTAAAATTTAAAAATCTCTTATCACAGTATTACGCAACATAAAATATGAAAATAAAATGTTATTAAATTTGCTCAATGTCTCTTATAATTTCGTACTCTGAGACATTGTGAGAAATATGAGACACTTAAAACAGAAAAAATGCAAGCAGGTTAAGTCGCATGAAACAGAGAAAATCTTTGGCACGCCAGTTATATGAAACAATTCGCATTTCGCAGTCAATTTGCCAATGACTAAAGAAGCACGTCATGTTTTGGCGGATTAATGACCGTGAACACGAGATATCTTGACTTGAACTTTGTGGTTCTGCTTGCAGCCGTTTCCGAGTCGAGTGCTCTCATGAAGTCATCACTCAGTGGAGAACATGGAGACCGATTGCTTATCGATAATCGCTAGGCTGTGCATACTGCTGATGCTGTTCGGTCCGGTCGCGGATGTCCACTCGCTCGACATACGTAAGTACGATTTGAATCACTGGGCGTTTGAGTCCTCGATTATTGACGGACTCGTAGGATGCAAGCATCTATCCAACTAAGAAATATGTAGGACCTCCAGCGATTTAGGTGAACTTCAGACACATGTAGAGCGGCTAAAATAAGCGACACGTATTTTTCATGCGCTCCACGCACATAACTTGGAGATTAGAGCAATCCGTCATGGATAATTCGATAAAATCGATCTCGACGAAATTGAAATTCCAGGCGCTGAAACGAAAGAGAAAAGGTTTCCAAAAAACATTTGACAGTACTTAATATACTTTACTGATTGCACTAAAATTTTTTGGGAAATTTTGTCATGAGAATTGCGAGTATTTTGAAAAATCGAAACACACATATAAAAAGCATTCATTAAAATCTATTTAAGAAATACATGTCTTGCTTTTTAGCTACTCTACAGCATATGAAAAGTTCATCAAAATTGAGATGGAAGATAGTTTTATACATCCTTGCGAAATAATTTCGAGATAGTTCTATATACTCTCGTAAAACGCAATTTTTTATAAAATAGCTTCCACATATTTTCTCATAAATCGATGCTTGGAAAGAATGTGCACTAATTTGACTTGTGAAAGGGTTTAACAAAAGGGTTAAATCACGTCTGTGACCAACTCGCGGAAGTATTCGCGCGCGAGCGATTCCAGTAAACTTCACGAAAAAAAAAGGGTTAGTTAATTTACGGACAGCCAACCACATTTCAACTGAAGCAGCCAGAATGTTTGATTATAACAACTAAGTTCAGTTGGTTAGACAATTAAGGTCAGTTGTCATAATCAAACATTCTGGCTGCTTCAGCCAAAATGCGGTTGACTGTCCGTGAATCAACTTATCTCTTTTTTTTCGTGTTATAATTGCGTAACTTTCGTATTTCCATGAGTCATGGAGACGTTTACGCGAAAAAGGATCAAGTCACCGCGAAAATCCAACAAGTATACTCTCATCTGCCAAGCTACGCTCACGGCGTAGCGAACACTAGATGCGTAAATTAATTCGACACTTTTACTTTTAATCAATCATAACTCCGCTTTAGATTTAAATATCTTCCCGTTGTTTAGTGAGTTTTTAAGTATGCCAACCTTAAGATTTAAAATATATAGCTTAGCGAAGCTGATAACATCCAATAAGCAGTATATTAAAATATTGCATTCTTTTTACCTTCCAATTGGGGAGAAATGTTGTCGAAATATGATATGTTCAATTTTGGGGAAAGGTGTTGTAACGCACAAAACTTGTAAACAGTGGCACCACAAATTCCGGAGTAATGATTTTTGTCTTACCAATGAAAAATGTTTAGCCATACGTCACAAAAAGGACGAAGAGTACTTTTTATTCGTTGGACTGGCAAATTCTCCCTTATGCGGCTTATTCAGCGGATCTCTCTAGTCTCTTCGGATTACCATCTATTCCGATCTCCAACACTGCCTCGCTGATACACACTTTAAAAGTATGGAAGAGGTCCGAAAATGCATTGGCGATTCGTCGACTCAAAACCGCCGTTCTTCTTTCGAGGGAGCATTCGTCAGTTATCCTACAAATGGAGGAATGTATTAGAAAATGATGGCGGATATCTGGAAACATTGACATGTTTATTATCTTCTTGTAAATAAGACTCAATTTCTTAAAAAAAAAATTCTTCACCGAATTAATTTGCGTAGCTAATAAAACGCGAAGATCTGTACAGATCTGTTCCCCGGCAGAATGACTATTTTTATCAACTCCTCGCGCACAGAACACGCCATCGATTTCGATTTCCGCGAGTGCCTACCTTATATATCCGTGTAACTTAATATTGCTGCGAACATTAATTACAAAGAGGGGAGAAGGGGAAGCTATCGATCACCGGCACGTCGATATTCGCCGGGCCAGAAGTAACACGTAGAACAGTAACACGTAGAACGCGCGCAATTTTCACGCTACGACAGTCAATAACAACAAGGAGACGCCCCAGTCAGCCGCGCGGCAGAAGTCAAACGACGCGTTCCCGAGGCGAATTCCAGAGCGTTTCAGCCGCGGGGAGCCCGTCGGAACTAGTGTCTCCTTACCCCTTGCAGATCTCTCTCCCTTTGCCTCTCTCTCTTCCTTTTTATCTCCTTGGCGCCTCGCCGCTCTCGGCCGCCTGTCAAATTTTTCATCGGGAGCAGGTGATTTCCGAGTTTTTATTTTCCTACGGCGCGCGCGATCGCGATGAGGGTGCTATCACTCCGCGGTAATGACTCGCTATTCTCCATCCGCCCGGGGGATCAATTATTTTGAATCTAATGCGACAGGATAAATTGCATCCCGCGGAGGGCTCCTCGTTCTGGCCTTCCCGCGCCCCCGCCTTCCCCCGCGCGATTCCGCCTTTACCTCTGCCGCCGGGGCGGCGCGGAGTGGCGAAGCGATTTTGCGCTAAAAGGCGCGCCGCCTTCGGAAAACAACCCCTCATTACAGCCGAGCCGTACACACCGAGGGCCGCCTTGTAGCTCGACAAATTGGTCAGAAAGCGGCTTCTATCGATTGGCCGCCCGCTCGCGCGTCGCCTCCTCGCGTGCGCCTCGAATATTTGGAGTATTTTTCTATGTGCAAACGGGGGGTGCGCGCGAGCACGACGGTGACCTGGTCTGTACTGGGGCGCGGTGAATTTTTACGTCTTATCGCGCGTTTCGCGATCGCGATTTCATGGCACGCTGAGTAATCAAGGACCACGGAAGCACGCCGTATCTCGGGTGTTTAATTGATCGTGTTCGCGAAATTTCTTCCAGTGAAATTCCGTTCGGAGAGTGGAGTGTTCAGTCGAGTCACTCGAATTCAAGTTGTATTGAGTGCGAATTCTTCACTCTCTGAATCGTCCAATGAGTATTTCTACTCGAAATTGAAGAGTAAGTCTGATGAACTAATCAGTCGCAGGAACAACTTTATTCCTATGCAGTGAAAGATTCATTCCTTTTGAATTAAGAATCCAAATTCTAATTCAGAAATTCATTGAAGTTGAGTGTGATTCTCTTATGGTCCCGAGTAGCAGTACCTTCACCTATTGCTTTGAGTGAATTTTCACTCGTTTTGATTGAGATCTCACTCCAAGAAATTTGGAGAATAGGAAATCTAAGTAATTGCATTGGAAAGATCCACTTGCAAGGCCAGTGAAGATAAAAAATCCCGTCTTCAATTCATTGAAGCATTTATTCATGCGAATTAAGAGTCCACTCTAATTTCCCGTTAAATCCCTGTAATTTCGAATGACAGTACTTTTGCTATCGTTTCAAGTAAATGTCGTTTTGAATGAGATCTCACTCCAAGGAATTAAGAGAATAGAAAACTTAATTAACTACATTTGAAAGATCAGTTGCAACGTCAAATAGAAAGCAGATAAAAGAAAAGAAATTCCTTCTAATTGATTGAAAGCACTCATTCATACGCATTAAGAACACACTTTAAGTTCGAGTTAAACATTCATCTCTGTAGAGCTCCGGGTACATAATACAAATAACTGACAATACTTTCATTGTCGCTTCAAGTAAACTTTCACTGGTTTTGTATGAGGCGTCAAAACTATCTACAGAATAAAATCGAAATCTCTGCTCAGACGAGAACACTCAGGCGAAAGCAGATCGGTTTGCGAACATACAATGGAAACAATAAGAAAGTTTGATTCGCGCAGTGCTTTCTGGGAGCGTATTCGCGTAATAAGAGCCGGAACGCGCTTCAATTATTTGGATCGAAGCGGACCATATTGATTCGAGGTGTTGGAGCGGGAAGTGTCTTTTTCGCGATGTGGAACTTTCCTCGACGAAACTCTTTTTTCGTCAGTCGACTGTTGACGTGTATATATGTGTGTGTAAATACATACATAATGCCATGGTTTCCACAAGATCGTCCAAACCGCTTCAGAAGTTCACCGAGATTATTGATGTTTCCGCGAAGCCCGCAATGGAGGAGCCCGTGTCTCCATCTCCGTTTCCGTTGTAATACGATCTATGATGATGCACGTGCCTAAAATAACGTCGTGCTTTTGCCACACGCAACACGCGAGTTTATGTAAGGATCTCGCATTCGACGGGGAACCTTAAATGACTTTCCTCCACTCGTCGGCCGCTCGAACGCTCCTCGTTTTCGCGAGCCATTCCTGCAATTTATCGCACGAAAAAGAAAAGAATAAGGGATTATTTTTTCAACTACTCGCGCCTTGAAATATAACAATTCAAAGTAATTAATATATATAGTAATGATAGCGATTTGAATGTGGTTTAATTGATTTTGTTTACAACTGATGTCAATTGTAATAACTCAGAAGATACATGAAATAAGATGGCTTAGTAACAGCAACACGTGGAGATATGTCTTGACAGTTTTGTAATTCGGCAATAGTAATATAGTCACGTCTGAATGTGTGAAACTTTGTCTGTACATATGAAATATTCATACACGTGATGATCAGTTTTGAACTCGACTAAAATTACATCAATTTCATTCTTTAATTTCACATGTTAGAAGTGAGTGCATTATTCATATTGGAATTAAAATGTGTTACAATAATCTCAGAGTTCATAATGAAGAAATGAGTTAGATATAAAATGATATAAGAGCTTTTGTATATTTCAAGATTAAGAAGCGAACTCTAAGAATATCGCTATGACATGCCATAATGATATTTGTTTCCACGTGTATGCGATGTTACATACTGAACTTACGTAATTCCACCTGCGATTTCAAGCGATCTACGTGCTTGAAGAGGATCAAAGTGCCTTATCGTAAAGATAATATACCAGCTGGTTTAATACTGAAAGTATAGCCGCGTAAAAGTGCTCATAATTTTTAGTAATACTCCAAGTATGAAAACGAAAGAGACACGATCTTCTAAGCATATAACCGGACTTGCTCTCGTATTTTTTATAAAGAAGATATTAGCACGACGTGAATCATTCTACGACTTTTTGATTAAAATTCAAAAATATATAGAAACAACGAATAATAAGAGCCAAATTGCAACTCTGATTTGCATATATTTACAACATAGTGTATATAAACACACTCTGGTGCAAATTAATTGATACTTTAATACTTTCGCTACTAATTTTGTTTTTTAAAAGTACAATTATCTTTTACTTTTACTTCATTAAATATGTTAATATATAATGTAGTTTTAGCATAAAAATTAATTGACGCCAAAAGGATAGAACCAGAACGTTGATGTCCCACTGGTGTTTTTGGGAGGATATATTTGTCCCAACGGAGTAATAAGTAAAGTGATAGCTAAAGTGTTTTGAATGTCAAAAAAGCGTTTACTCAATTGAATAAGGTTATTGAATAATATTGGCGTAAAACATATGTCCTGTTAGTAGCAGAAGGGTTAAATATCGGAAATTAATTAATCTACACCTGCTTGTACACTATACTGTAAATATATGTGTTAGACCTACAATATGGCTCTTATTTTGTCCATTATTTTTATACATATATACATATTTTGTATTAGTACAATATATTAGTATTTTTAGTATTTATTTTTAGTATTATAGTAATTTTTAGTAATACTTTTAGTATTAATAATTTTATTAATAAAATATATGTCGTTACCTATATTCCTGAGCTATTTGACCCTTCTTCCACCATATGCAAACTTCTCGATTGCTATTAAACATCTCAATGGAACAACGCGCTTGCAACGAGGACCTCAGATCGCGGCGAACGCAAGCGCACGCTCCCGTCACCGTCACACGTACGGCTGCGTCATATTTTACAAAAGGTCAGCGCCATTACTCTTACACCTTCCTCGCAGTAACGACTTCCTCGAGAGACGACTTAATGGACGAAAGGTCGTAGAAGCGGAGGAAACGAGCGGAGGTCGCGCCTAGCACGTAGAACGCCGTCGGCGCGAACGCGACCCCGCTCGGGATTTAAGGACGCGTCCTCCTCTTCCTCCTCCCCCTCTTCCCCACCTCCTCCTCGGATCTGTTCGAACGATCGTGTCGTTCCTATCGTAGAGCAATCCACTGTAGCTAAGAAAAAAGAAAAGAAGTACCGCAGCCCGCGATTACTCACGCTCAAGGAGACGCGACGACGACTCTCGGCCGACCGTGAAAGACGACGACGACGATTCATCGGCGTTCACTGAGCTCTAACGTTGTCCAAAGGGGCTCCCTCTTTTTTCTCTCCGTCCGAGATGAGAGTTAATGACAAACTGGATCCTAGAAAACGAAGTAAACGTCGGAGACTGCAGAGGGTTGTAAGCAGATATGAAGGAAAGGGTTGCGCGGAAGGTCTCGCCAGCTAAGAGAGATGGAGAGACGAAGAGCCGCAGGAGGACGGCGGAAGAGAAGGAGAGAGGACGACCATTGTTGCGAGCTTTCATCAGCACCAGGTTCTGCTGGCGTTTCCCTCGTTATGGTAAATGGTCTGTCTTCGTGGTTGGGCAAACAGTTACACAACGATAAGTGCCGGAACACCGGCCGGGCGTGCTCGGCCGCCATCTCGAGACCATCTCGAGGGCCTCCGCGCGCCTTGACCCTTCTGTCCTTTTCGTCAGCGGTTCGCCGACTGTCGTCCTCGTCGTCAACGTCGACGTCGTCGTCGTCGCAGTCAAGATTCTCCAGAAGGTGTCCCGGCGCGCTCTGAATGACTGCTAAAGATGCACAAAGGCCTCTATTGTCCGCGAGCAAATCATCTCGTTCTGTTCTACGTCGTTGCCGGTGAGAGAGTGTATGTGTGTGCAACTGTGTTGAGTGTTGTATATAGGTGTATTGCACGGTCGAGCTGGTGTACTACACGCGCGTTTTATTACTCGGGAGATGCTCGCGTTAGCGTGCCAATGCGCAAGCCAGCCAGCCAGCCAGCCAGCAAGTAAGCGAGCGAACCGACGGGAAGAAAATAAACTGGGAGAAACACCGACGCCTGAAATTACGTTGTAAAACTAACGTCGCGATTTACTCGATATTACGGGAGATAACTCTTCAATGGCTGCTAATAACGCGCAAGACCGACTTGGATCGATTCGGAATCCCTCGAGTTCTTCTCCGCGGAAGTGTCCGATGAGATTTCCCGCTGAAGGAAATATTTCGGTCGCTGCTTCCCAACACGATTCTCCACGCAGGCGATCGCGAAATCGCCAAATAATTTCGCGCCGAGCGTGCTCTCCAAGCCGGTCGAGGTGACAATTCGCTCGGGAAAGCGGAGTGACTCGAATTCGAGTGAGCTTTTACTCATACGAAGTAAATTCTCTCCACTCGTCTGAATCGTCAAGTGAATACCTAGATGGACTTTCATGATCATCATCATAGTTTGTAATTTCTTTTAACTGCATTTATAAAGCGACATATGCTTCATTACGAAGCAAATGCTCAATTATGAAATATATTGTGTGTTGAATTAATCATCAAATTTAAATCATACAATAACGTAAGTTATTGCAAATTTTTTCGTTATGTTGTGTTGTAGCGATAGATTTGAAAAAACCCTCAAATTTTCACATTACATTTCACATGATATGGTGTTTAAAAAATTTTCACCATATTTTCATCAAATTTTCACCATATTTTTCGTATTTCGTCATTCCCTTTGTGATAAATATAAGTGCTGCAGAAAAAAGTTTAGTTATATTAACGCAAAGTTTTTTATTTCAATGAATGAACACACTTTAGTTCACTAAGAAAAATGTATTTGGTATTCGTAATTATCACATCATATAGAGAAGCAATTATCATAAATTATAGAGAGATTAAGGAAAAACTATATTTTTATTAAATTCTACTATAATATTAGTGACAATAATCTTATATGCATGTCACTACTACCATTTTTGTGTTAAAATATCCAAGAAACATGATTGAAAATAATGATTGAAAATAATAATTGAAAAACAAACAAATATTATTTAATTATATTGTAATTATAACAAATATTATATTATATATTATAACAAATATTATTTAATGATATTATATTATAATTAATATTTTGTGACCAAAAACAAACTATAATTTTAGTTAGTAGATCAAACAATTTTTTTCTCTCAATGTTGAGAAAGACGCGTAATTGCTGGTTCTTATAATTTGCTTCCAAGAATCAGAAATTCCATTTTCCTCAACTAAAATACGTTGTTTCGTTTATTACAACTGCACTTCATGGTTAATATAATTAAACTTTTTTCCTTTATAACTACTCGTAAAGGACGCAACCTTTACAGATCGATCGGTAAAGTTGTTGCCAAATTTACATGCACCTATCCATCTAGGCATTTTCACTCGAAATCGATGAGTGAATATGATATACTCTCGCAGGAACACATTCACTTTAATCGATTGAAACGTTCGCTCGTATGAAGTCGGAATCCGCCCAAAGCTCGAGTGAAACATTTACTCGCGCGATTTCGAGCAGTGATATTTTCACTGTTGCTACGAGTGAAAATACCGCCATTTTTCATCGGTTTTGAGTGAGCTTCCGCGCTCCAGGAAATTCAAGAAGCAATTCGTGCGACGCGAGGAACAAATACGGCAAAGATGAATCGAGAAGGCGCGCGCGTCATGAGGCTGGCGACGATTTACAAATTTTCCCCCCGCGAACCACTTCAGATCGTCGTCTGAGATCCGATTTAATATTCGACTGCAATGCCTCAAGCGTGATCGCCTAAACTTTGGCTCCCGGGCGCGCTCCGGCCCGGCGACGGGAGGAAAAAAGCCCTTTATTATTCCGAACGCCTATTTTCATGCACGAGAATCCGTTCGGGAATGATCTATACATTTTCTTCGGCACGGGCCAGCCCTCATAAGTCGAGCGGCGCGGGGACGAGGGGATGGCAGGAGGACGGGAGCGCGTTTAACAACGTTATAACTTCGGTAACTGGGGCAAATTCGCCGGCAAGGGAGATTTCTACACGTCGTTCTACTTTCTCGCCGATAACAAATTAGCCAAGTTCAATATTTGACTTGGTAATGATTTCGGCATCGTTCGCATTACTTACATGGTCTATCCATATAGACGTATAGCACTCAGCGACAATTTGTCTAACTCGCGAGAAAATCAATCGCAATGAATATATCGCCGACGCGTAAACCAAGACTGCGAAGCGGCCTCTCGCTTTCGCCTACACCACGCCGATATCGAATCTCGCGCGATGCGTTTATATCCGGGCCGCGGAAATTGCGGGAATTTTATCCTCCAGGCGTGGCTGTGTCTCGTGACAATACTGTATTCGAAGGGTTTAGTCGCATAACAGAAAAAGAGAGAGAGAGGGATAGTCGAATAATATTTGTACGGAATTTGTGACTGAAATTTGTATACGTTCAAATGCATCATATTGATATATTATAAAGAACGCCTGACGTATTATAAAAACCGTCTCTTTTTAGAGATTTTCTGTGGAACCGCGTCAAGTCTAAAATTAGGTCAAAGTATCTAAAACGAGTTTTATCTTAACTCTAGTTTGGTACTGATGCGTCAAATTGAAAAATTAAGATCACACAGCCGTTAAATCTTAAATTATTGCACAAATATAGTATATAAATATAGTAAACAAAGTAGTAACAAATATAGTAAATAAAGTATAAAATTCCTTTCTCGAGGCATGCAAAATTTTATTACACTTTTCTATGTAAAAATCTATCCTCTCCTATATCTAAATTAAACGTAATGCTCGCGACTAGTTAAGATAAGCATACTCATAAATATTTAAATAAGGGCGTATCAGAAAAGTTACTAAACCTTACAAAGCCCCAGTGTGCCAAACTAAGCGGCAAAAAGTGTGCCAACGAAGAGTTAAGTTGAAATTACCTGAAATGCGCAAACATGTTGTACACCGGGGATTCGCACAATGTGTTAATATCTGATTAATAAAAAATGCGAAGAGAGCTTCAGTGATACGTGGAAAAAAAGACGTTATGAATTAATTTTCTTTCGTTTAGCAAACTTTTCATGGAGATTGTCTGCAGTATACACCCACACATGCAGGAGTCATTTATTGGCGATGCACGCTTGCCGAGGTCAGCTCCTTCTACCCAACCTATTTGCGTTGGAGTATCGTGTTTCTTTCGTTTTCGTACACGGAGTATCACTATAAATTATGAACTTTTACGGCTGCACTTTGAAAACTCGGTAATTCTGATTTCCTCCTTGCACAATCTCCGCGTATCGATCTTTAGTATCATAGTAATTTTTCATTAAAATCCTCCGAATGCACTTTAGAAGTAAAAATTGAAAATAAGGTCCTGACTTCGCGAAATTTATGTTGAGAATATCAACTTTATAATTGCAAAATACCTTAACTTTCTGGCGGTGAATCATCTTCTAATTGCGCGCGCGAGGTTAGATAACATTTCAATTGAAATGCAAGAATGGAGCGCACCTGTTGGGACGAATTTCTGAGAAATTCGTTCCGCGAGACAATTACCTTTGCCATTCGCGATCATTAAATATCGATATTTAATTAGCTCGACCGTGCATGATCATTACGACGAAGAAAAATTATGCTTTAATATTTAACGTCTCTCTTTTTCGCACTTGTCCGTCATTTTACGTGCAAGCCGGATCAAAGGTCGATCGGACCGTCGAATAATCCGAGAGAGATAACGCGCCGTAATTACAGAAAGAGAAAGAAAAAGAGAGAAAGAGAGAGAGAAAGAAAAAAAGAAAGATCGTAGATTAAGGCGGGATAATGAGGTAATATTACGATTTTCTTCGTACTCCTTCCGCGCCTTTCTTTCGATTCCGATTAAAGTCCAATTTCTCTCGGGTAGCGCAGCCACGTCACCGCCGATAGATCAAATTCGCTACACCTCGGCGATGACTTTGATGCGCCGAGTAAAATTTCTATTCTTCCTCGCGCGGCCGCCCGCGCGCGCACTTCTTTCCCCACGTCATCCCGTTTAGCCCGATATCGCCTTCGTCCGACCTTTTTCCCATTTTCCACTAGGCGATTCTTCCGCCCGGTCTTTCAATTTGAAATGCAGACGAGTTCCAAGCATTCCCGACTAAATCCGGAATCGTGTTGTCGTCGGTTAATTCTCCCGTTCTATTTTTCGCGCGTAACGTCGATGTCACCGGCGAAATCGACTGCGCGGAAGGAGTTCAAAGAGTCGAGCATCATAATTGAATTTTATATCTCGCGGGCCGCTTTTATCTCGGCTAAGAATAATGTATTCCGGCGTAAGTAGCTCGCGCGCGCAGCACACATACATATGTTGCTATTTCCGTGAGA